GAGCAACAGGGGGGTGGAACTGTGTTCCAGCACTCCAATCAACAAATAATTATCAGAAATTTGGATAATTGGAAGGTGCTCTGAACATAAGCTGAAACAGCTAAAGCGCTGTTTTACAATGGGTAGGTTGAATAGTTGGTTATCAAATACTAACACGATATTTTCACCTCTCTAGATAGCCAACTGACCACTGAATCTCAAACTATTATCTCACAAAGGTCTTGTGGCTTCTTTTTCCTACCGCCCTTTAATTTTTTGGAAACAACTAATAGCTATGGTCCTCTAAGACATCGGTGTGAGAATTCATGAACAACTGTTATTGTAGTGGAAATCTGCTCCTCCTGTGTATATCTAAAGGGATCATTGCCATCTAGATATATGTAAGAATTATGCTTAACTACTACACTAAAAAGGAGAATTCCCCTAATTGGCAGTGAGAGATCAGCATATAACTCGAATTTTTCAGCCAAGCGGAGAATAAGGCATATATTGCCAACTTTAGAAATATAAGCGGCGTTCGTGTCTTTTTTTCACTTGAGAAACACATCTAACTTGTACCAAAATTTACCATTCATTTTAACCCAAAAAAAAAAAACAATCAATCACAACCATGCTAGCCAGCATGCCCGTCGCTTTGCCATGCCGGATATGGCTCCAATATGTCGAACCGCTCGCTGCGCTTTGCGGGGCATATCTAACATATTTCTGCCCAGCTACTTATCTACAAATGACCCATGCACCACCACCACCATCATCATTCTCAGAGGCAATAATAGATGGTCCCCCCTAATGTGGTCAAATTTGCACTGAAGAAGTTGGCTGCGGCTTTTGTCTTCCTGAGCCTAATGGAGGCCCTGGTCTTGAATTCAACGAGGGACTTGAAAGTCTTCAGAGCAGTTGTGCTTTTCTTGTTAGCCTGTGATCTCGTTTAAGGCATGGGTGGCACTGCCGGGTATTGGATGCAGCCGTGGCTTTGGGATGTTGTTGGTTGGGGAAATTTCGGGTCAACTTGAATAGGGATTATTGTTCGTGGAATATTCTTGTATGACGTTGTATTTTGATGCTTGGTTGTTAACGTTTTTGGGTTTTCATTTCTATGTATCTTTACATTTTCTATATAACCTGTGTATGTGCGTGAGAGTGAGAGAGAGAGAGAGAGTATGTGTGAGATTTGTAGATTTTCAGAATTAAGTAAGGGGATCGATCAATAGTGCCGCTTGCTCTGTATTTGCTAGGGCTTTTGATTGGAGACAAGTCAGTATCCTTTGGGAAGTGTATCCTCAGCGTAGTCGGACCGCCCTCTGACTCTATCTCGCAATTGAAACTA